AAGGAGATAAAATAAATATTGATGAAGGTTAAGAATTTTGCGTTTTATTTAAAATTTCCCGAAAACTTTTCGGTCACAATGTAGCATCGCTTCTATTTCCTTAGACAGATAAACTACTAACGATCTCAGCTTTATTTTACTGAAGAGGGAAGTGCTAACGCAGTTGTACCGCTTTCTATTTGAATCTATTTCCTTAGACAGATTCAATTTGTTAAAGTGATAAGACAGATTATGATGACTGATTAGATAACCTACCAATGATCTCAGCACTATTTTACTGAAGAGGGACGTGGTACCGCAGTTGTACGGACAAACTATGTTAGTTATTAAGCTGGACGATTATCTGGAGTGGTGTGCCAGTAGCGAATTCAAACAATATTTCGTCATAGACCTAATTGTGGATCAAGTTTTTCTATAATATGGCTTCGATGCTCCAAGAGGACAATGTCTTCTTGACTGTGTGCTTAGAACGCATTTTTATTCTTTAATAAAGTCAATTCTAGATTTCAATGGCGGGTACATATGCTTGAATGATTTGAACCTAAAAGTTGGCATTGCTGGTGCAAACTATTCATATAAATACTATTCGTATGAAATGAAATGTTGATCTACTATTTGTTAAACAACAAGAAATAAGGCTTTTTACTTTCTTTCCATAACATGACTGAGATTTATTTGCTTAAATAAATGATATTGTGAAATTTTTTATGATGAAATAGTTTTAATCAAAAAACATACAAGTAATATCAAGTTCTAAGTTTTTACTACTATTTAACTACTTTAAAATTGCAGTTGGAGGAGTGTTACTCCTATAAAGAAACATAATCATAGCAATCAAATTTAAATTATAAAAATATACACATCTACAAAGTAAAGGGTATTTAAACCGAAAATTACAGAAGCAAAGTTTTTGTGTGACCATGACTCATGTAAGAGCAATTACTTCCATACAACCACAAACGTTACACGGAACTCACAGAAGTAACCGTTATTATTTATATCTGGAGCGTGTAAAATTCTAAGCGAAAAGTAGAATTAACAAGACGTTGAAATTGATGCCTGTTGGATTGTTGATTGTTGGGTTATTGCCCAGCCACAGCTGCTAATACAGAACAGTAACTTAAGCCAAAAAAAAGAAGAAAAAACACAGTAGCAAAAAACCAGCACACCAAAGTTAAAAAAAAATTTAAACAATAGACAAGGTCGTTTACTCTTTCATATGCCGTACAAAGCAAATATTTTAAATAACAAACAAAAACCGCTTAAAATGTTTAAGTAAAAATCTTATTTTTTTCTTGGTTGAAAAAAAAAGTTCTTTAGTTTTAAACCAATAACTGATATATCAACTTTTTGAAATGAGATACGCATTGGCAACCAACACCACTTAAGAGTTAAAATATTTTTTTTCGTTTGAAAGCACCAAATTATGTCAAAATAATAACAAATTAACTTAAAAAAAATAAAATGCAAAAGCAGGTCACTTGGTGCCTAAATTGTCGAATTTGTGCTACTGCACTATTATGCTTCATAATAAAAATATTTAATATAAAAAAAAAAAAATATATATATATATACATATATGAAAAAGTACGAGTAATTGTAGCACTTCACGAATATCTATCTACGACTGAAGCAGAAATGCCGGTACGCGTCCAACCTTGAAATAAACAAAAAAATATTACTAACAAAAACCAAAGAAGGCAGCTATACTAAGCATCAACAGTGGTAAATGGGTGGGTGTAGAAAAAAACCAAAAAAAAAAAAAATAATAGTATCTAAGCATTAACAGAGGCCTCAGTAAAACACTTTAGCAGCTTTCTTTTTATTTAAGTTGTTATATATAAAATATCTTTTTTTCTGCATAACCACAGTTTCTTATTATTTTGATTGCAGTAACATAACTGAGATTGTGACTCATTACAGTACGTTAATGCCATATCTACTTAACAAGGCTCTGAGTAACTTAACTGAGGCGAATTTTACGCTGCGTACTTTGCTTTTGCTTGACTTAATAATATTGACTCAATATTTTGACTCAATCGAATATATATTATTTACACATATAACAGCGTTTGTTTTCCTGTAACTGTATATTTGTATTTCAGTATGGCATAATGTCAATCTCTGTCAACAGTTCAATGAACGCTGCACAATGACTGGTCAAATTATTTGTTACAGTTATGAAATTAATCCAAGCACTCATATGCCGCCGCAGCCGCAGCCGTAGCCGCAGCAATGCACAAAAACACTTGCTGAATGAGTTTCACATTGTGTTTGTGTTTAAGCCGTAAAATTTAAACTTAAAATTTATTTGATTGTAGTTACTCGTAAATTAAATAAGGAAATGACTTTTAACTTGCAAATTAAATAAATTCACAGAACTTATGGATTCAAGTGTTAATGATTGCACACAAATGTGTCGCTATTTCACACAATTTCAATTTATTTAATAATCGCTTTTATCCGACGTCTATGGTTTATTTAGGTTAATTTCTTGAAAATTAGGGTATGGGTGTGAAAAAAGGTGGATAAGTACATACATATATATATACAGATAAAAATTGAATTAATTTATTGTTTCTACTGTTTTCTAAAATTATAATGCTTATAAAAATGCTTCCGAAACGTGGTTTTTGTATTAAGAGAAATTAACTGAAAAGAAACGTTTTAGTGTTAGAGAAGTTTTGAAGTAAGTCAAATAACGCATTTATAAAAAAAATAAATTTATTTTATATAATACATTTAAACATTTTTTTCATGTTGATGTTATGATCACACTCTCAAAAGCATGCACTGCAGTTTTTAAAGAAGCTTTTGAATCTGTAGCTAATTGAAAAATTATTGACTTCATTGTCAAACTATTAAAAAACAAATTTTATAATATAAATGATATCAATAATATATAAAATATATTATGTATTTACATATTCTCTATGTCATCTATATATTATATCATAATATCTATCTATATATTCTCTATATTATCTATATATTCTCTATATTATCTATATATTCTCTGCATTATCTATATATTCTCTATATTATCTATATATTCTCTATATTATCTATATATTCTCTATATTATATATATATTTTCTATATTATCTATATATTCTCTATATTATCTCTATATTTTCTATATTATCTATATATTCTCTATATTATCTATATATTCTCTATATTATCTATATATTCTCTATATTATCTACATATTCTCTATATTAACTATATAAATTTCTCACATATAATATCCCTACTATTATTAATATTATCTATCTATGTATAAGTCTAGATGATTTCTAATCATCTAGAATTTTAGAAGAATTTTTCAGGACACTACCCATACAAAATGATCTGATCCTGTTACAAGATGTTTCAAATCTATGTCATTTGAAATCTGGCCCTGTTACCGACTATTTAAATGACAAAAACAAAAACAAAAAAACAATGTGTTGTCACCTTTAGTTTGATGGAGAGGAAACTATTTTAAGATAAGTTGCCGTCAATACTTGGAAAAGTATAACGAGAAGCCATGAAGGCTGGAAGAAAGTTTTAACGAAAAGGGCCAAAATGTACTTTATCTGTAGTGTCAAGAAAACAATTTGCATTTATATAAATCATATATGTAACTGATTAGTTTAATAGATTTTTTTAAGGCTATTAGCTTAATATTTATAAGAAAACTATGTTATTATGTTTTTGCTTTATGTAAGTAATTGCAACGTAAATTATATTAATTTACTCTAAATTAGTGCGACGCATTTACAAAATTAAAATAGATAATATGTATAACATTGGCTTACTATTTTTAAAAATAAGTAAGTTATTATATTTTTACTTTATATAAATAATTGCAATGTAAATTATATTAATTTAGTATTAATTAGTAAGTAAAGAGTGACACGTAAACATTAAAACAGATCATTTTTATTTATAATCTAAGGCTATAAATGGGTGGAGTTCAATTATTTAATAACTCAAAATTTATATGTGTATTATTTAATAAATCATAATTTTATTAAATTGCTAAATAATTTGCAAAAAAATCTTGAAAAATAATATGTTTCATTATTTTTGAAAATAATATTTAGCTTAATACAGAGAATTAATTTTATAGAATGTTGATAAAAAACTATATTAGCGTTAATCATTTCTTAAAAATAATTTTATGTGAGAAATCAGGTCACGGATATAAAATATTTAATGTATATTAATATGAAACAGTTATTTTTAAGCAATTTGCAATTTCCTTAAAAATCAAATAAATGACATATGTATTAAAATTTATTATAAATTATTTTATAATATATCTAACCTTTATACAAAATTGAAAAAGCCTTCAGACACAAATATTTCAATAGGCCTTAATAGTACATTTTTAAAACAGTAACAAAAATGATTTATTGGCCAAATTTGTACAATCAACAATTGGCAAATTGTTTTTTATTTTAATCAAATAAATTATTTTCTGCCAAAATATTTTTTAAAATGTATATACAAACGCTTTATATATATGAATCATAAGTCTTAAAACAACAAAGCTGCGTGCCAAATTGCAAAGTTTAAACACCTCCAAATATATAACAGATAATAAAAGCACAGAAAAATTGGCAATATCAAATTAAATAAGATTTCAGTTCACAGTGGCAGGCGAGCAGGCAGTGTTATGTATAAAAAATTCAAGTGCAAATAGCAAAAAACCTTAAAAAAATGTATAAAAAGATACGCAGATATAACACGCGTTAAAAGAATGAATTAATGATGATGAATAAAACTAAAAAAGTGTATCAAGAAATCTCTGTGACAGCAGCTAATAAAACGATTCAACGCC